ATTTAGTTGAGTCCGTGTGCTGAACGGCTTGAAACAACACGGTTCTTTTATTACGGTCATTAAAGGAACACATTTTGAAACACAAGGTGTGTGTGTGTGGCTTTGTGCTCCTATTCACACCCATGTACTGCACATGGGTTCACACGTCCACGATAACCCAACACACGTGTCCATCTCCTGACACAAATATGCACGCATAGCTGAACGCACAAACCTCCATGCGCACGGGCACACACACACACACACACACACACACACACACACACACACACACACACACACAATTCCCCCCTCGGTCTTCTTCTTCTCTCTCGCTAATTGACTGAACACGTCAATACTCACAGGTAAAAAACAGAGGGTCCGATGTCTGCATCTATTGATCTGCGCTTCTCTCCCTCTGTCTGTCTGCTTGATTACACTTCTTCTTCTTTACCAGCCTCGTCGGGCCTCCACTCCGGCGGCTGCCCTTTTCTTAAAGTGCATTGTCCAAATCCATACATCAAAATTAATGAGAGGGGGGCCGTGCTGTAGATCAAATATGAGGGGCTTCCCAAGCTGATAAGCAGGGATGGTGATCGTAAATTATGTCCTTTTAAAACAGTAACCGAAGGATAGAAAAAGAATTACTTGCATATGCTCCTGGAGGTCAACGCTAACAATGTAGGGTTTTTATGGAGGAAGCAACCTTGGTTTAGGTGATTAAAAGCACTAAAGCGTGACGGGGGGGGGGGGGGGAGTTTCTCTCCACCTCACTCTCGCTCTTATTTGTCCTTTCCTTGTCTCTTTCTTTGTCAATTTGTCAGATCTTCTGCCTCTTGTTTTTTTTGTCTATTTTAAGAGCCGTCTGTCTGTTCTCCCCCCGACGCGCGCGTACATTCGCGCGCACACACAAGGACAGAAACGACTTTTATGGTGCGGTTTTATGGACTGACAGCAAAGCAGGACGGTCTGGTCTTCAACAATTGTCCTCTAGTGAACTAGGAAGAAGAAGAAAAAAAAGGGCTCCTAATCGCACCGTTTCACAGCTCATACTCGCCCATCAATCAAGCCCGTCTGTGTGGCCTCCTGCGTTTGTGTGAGCGTTTGTGTGCGCACACGCGTCCCCGCCACACAAAATCCCAAAACCTCTCCTGGTTCACAAAACAAAAGCAATTAGAGATGCCGGCGCGGTAATCTCTTTTCACGTGTGCCCACACACGTACACACTTTTCCCTTTCATACAACAGTCACAGAAAATCATGCAAAAACAAACAAACACACACAACCACTCTCACACACACACAAACACTTCCACCGCTGAATTCCCTTTCTCTGTCTCCATTTTAAATGCAAATTGTGTGTCAGGTGAATATCGAAGAGGTGAGCGATAATGGGTAACATCAGCCGCATTATCGCCGCTCCGCATCGCCGAGAAGTGCTCATTCAATATCGTTACCGTTACCGGAGTGGAGGGTAGAAACCCACTTTTGTGTGTGTCTCTTTGTATTTATTAGACACACACCTGCACGTGCGCTTAAAGCTCTCTCTCACACACACACACACACACACACACACACACACACGCACACATACACACACACACACACACAGTCACAGAATCACAACCAGTGGCTTATCTTCTGGAATAAGAAAAGGGGCTTGTCAGGATGGCACATTGTATGTATGTATGTGAGTGTGTGCGTGCGTGCGTGCGTGCGTGCGTGTGTGTGTGTGTGTGTGTGTGTGTGTGTGTGCGTGTGAGGGGAAGGCAATGTGCATTAGAGCGATTACAATATCAGCCGACTCCAGATGGAGGCAGAAAAATAAACAGTGGGAGAGAGAGAGAGAGAGAGAGCATGAGGAGAAAGAAATCATGAGAAGGAGCCTAAGAGAGAGATTCTGTGTGTGTCTGTGTGTGTGTGGCAGTCTGCCTGTGTGCGATACAGTTTGAGAAAGTGAAGTTAATTAGCAGCTGAATCTTGGTATAAAACATAGAGGGGAATAACGGAGCGGCGTGTGCGTGTTTATGTTGTTCTGCACGTGTCAGCGTGTTTTAGTCCGAGAACTCTAACCTATCACGTAGATCCAACCTGCCCGATGCGTTAAAAATGCTTCACCTCTACTGTATGTTTGTGTTTTCATGAAAAGTACGAAGACATTTGGCCCCATTCAGGAACTGACTATGAAGAAGATTTTGCGTTTGTTCCGTTAATGGCGGGAAGTATAAAAGCTTTAACTGCGTCCATTAAAGTTGTTGAACCGTCAGACGTCTTCACTTATAAGTCTCGTGTTATACGGCGTAAAAACACAAACAAGGCCAATAAAATCAGTTTGTAGTGCTCACTGTTGACTTTGACATTAAATAAGCTCCTGTAAAGGCCAACTCACAGCTACAATAAAACAAAGACCTCCTGCTTTTGTGAGGGCCTGAAAGCGAGCACACACACGCACACACACTTGCACACAAATCCATACACAGACCCACACACGTATGCGAGTCGTTTTTATTCCGCGGCTGCTCTTTCATGGGTGATGAAATTCAATAAGTAGTGAAGAGAACTGCCCTCTCGCTGATAACCATCAATGGGCTTATCGATCTACAAGGGCGTGTGTGTGTAGGTGCATGCAGACACACGCACACACACACACACTCCCTCCATAATTCACACTGGGACTTGGTAAGAGATGTATGAATAATCAGAGCAGATTTATACGTCTTGAAGGAGTCTATGGAACAGTGGTTTTAGTATCCAATTCTGCCACCGACATCGGCCCCCTGACTGCATGGTTGCTTCCAATGCAACTTGTGCCTATTTCAACCATCTCCATCCCTGCACACTGCCAATGACAGCAGGGAGGAAAGATGAGCGTGGAAGGTTTTTCTTGTTTTTTTTCTTGAGTGATGGGGAAAACAAACCTTCCGCATTGAATTCCAGGTCATTACAGTTGGATTAGATTCTTATCAGTCAACTGAAGCCCACAGGGAAGATCACTTATTCCAAGTACAAAGGAACAACAAGCAAACCTGCCCTAATCTTGACAGCGTTTATGTCATATGTAGCCGGCTTGTACGGCTTCTGTGCGCTATACACAAAAACAACTTGCAAGAGATTTGTTTCCTTGATGACTTTGCAACTCAAAGACATTGAGCCACACGATACATTTGTTTGCGCTTCATCAAATAACAAGCCTTCATGCATCATACAACACAACATATTAGCTCTTAGCAATCAAAAAGGACAAAAAACTTGCCAACCAGGGGGTGTGTACGTGTCTTTGTGCTTGTGTGCACCACTGCGTGAGTGTGAAGGCGATAATAAAATGGTTGCCGTCATTTTTGGAAGGCCACGTCTGTATCTGTGAGTGCGGTCTGATGCATTTGACCCCACAGCCGGAGAGCTGGGAGGAGAAGGGAGGGGGGGGGGAACAGGTGTGAGGCAGGCTGGTGGCTGGACAGATGGCCCCTGGAAGTGCTGGCTGATGCTGCGGAGCCTGGACCACTGAGAGTTAGCAGCTAACGTTAATACAAGTCTGTTTATACAGCCAGCACACACACACACATCTGCAACCGACACGCACACAAACACAGTGATAACCTGCAAACAGCACTTATCATTTACTCCCGCCCTCATCACCAGCTCTGTTTACCTTTCATTCTCTCTCTCTCTCTCTAAATCTGTCTCTCGGCAGGTCACCACTTTAATAGAAGTCCCAGTGGTCACAGAATAGTAAACAAACAACAAAGGATGACACAACCAAATGAAGGCCTGGTTAACCAATTCAATCAGAATGACCACTGCAGGAAATAATGAGGATACTGAAGCTAATAATAAAAAATATTGAGTCTCCGCTTGGATCCCTTGAATACATCATGAGCATCCTTATCAGTGGAATATAATTTGTTGGATTTAGAGACGTGTGCCACTACCTCAATGCTGAATGCCACTTCTAATAAACACCTCTCCTATTTAAAAAATCCATATTTATAGGGGCAGACTACAGCTGCAGTGGGTCACGCTTTTAGGAGGAGTTAACAATCACGCTCTTGGATGCCTGCAAATCTTTGCGTGGGACCGTTCGGCATGCGTATAAAATGTCCAAAGCCCTGTGGGGTTCCAGGAGATATTCGCCTCCCTCCCTAATCCGAGCCGTGAGAACAGGCGGGCATCGACAGCAGGTCGAGTCCCAGCCGTCTCCCTCCGTCCCCCGACCCGCAGGTCTGGCATTTTTTTTTTTATAAAAAAGAGAACCTTTATTTTTCTTTGCGCTTTTTGGGTTGTGTGGTGATGCCAAAGTGGCAGCGGGTGGAGATAGGAAACTTCATTATGATTTGAGAAGATGCGTTTGACAGTTGTGACGGAGCTCCGGAGGATGTCTTCAAAATGCAAACTGTGAAATGCAAAGTGTCTTTGTGAGCAACGCCAGATTGGAAAAGGCGGCGCTGCATCCAAGTTATCATGTTATTCATATAGTCATGATTCGTCTTAGTTTGAAAATACCCTTTTAGGAATATTAAGCAGTATATTTTTAGGTATGTATTTGAAACCTTACTCTCGGCACTTGGTGGCACATTATTGTCCCGCTGGTTATTGTGGAGTGAAGGTGCTTTCTATTCACCTCTAAACGTGCGTCCTGCAGATCGAAACGGAGCAAACGTGATGTGAGAATTGAAGTTGCTTGTTGCCCGTGAACCATGTCTGATTTTAATGGAGACATGCAGGGACAGCTGTGAGTATTTAAACAAACGGAACCAGTAATTCAGAGAAAGCAAAGGTGGAGCTGGTTGTTGTTGCAAAAACACGCCAATCAACTTGATTCATAAAGTAGATATTTCAATATGAGCGGTCATGCTTTAATTTTAGAATAATATTCAACTTCAATTCATAAAAAAATAAACCAATTTCACTGATAAACCTATAGAAACGCCCGCAACACACTCGTCCCAGCAGTTCATCTCAGACCACTAAAATAAAAAATACAAAAAAAAAGCAAATCACATTAGCAAGAGAGAGGCCACTTACACTGAAAAGAGGCAGAAATTCCCACCATGCGGTACGTTGTTGTGAGAGGGCTAAATAATTTCCAGTCCTTTCGACTCCGCGCAAAGGTCCCCTCGATGATCCGCTCGTATCGCGCAGAAGAAAGCCGCCGAGTCCGGCGAGCTCTCAGGGGCTCCAGCGGCTGGCTTCAGACTCCCCGAGTAGAGGAGGAGGAGGAGGCGAGCTCGCGGCTTCACAATAGCGGAATTCAAGGATGGAAGAAGCCGGGAGCTTTGTAAAAGCGCAGACGCGCAGCCGGAGAGATGGAGAGGAGGGAGGATGCAGCAGTGCGCGATGGCACCCGTCGCCTTTCCTATGCGCCTTTTCTCACTTTCCTCCCAACACCCCCCTCCCAAAAAAAATCCTTTAAAAGCGTTGACTCGGTCTAGCTGGTGGATATCGTTTGTTTTTGTTTTTTTTCTTTACATAGGAGGTAAAACCAAAAACGCATGCACACAGCCTCGGTGAAACGGGGGTCCTCGTCTCTCTGCGTCTCCGTTGGGTAAGAGGAGTAGCGGCGCTCTGCCTCCAGTCGGCGGTGCGCAGCGGAGCCAGGTGGCGGTGGGCGGTCCGACGCGCTGCTGAGGGGGGGGCGGCGACTGTGCACCAGCATCTGTGTCCAAAAAACAGGTTGGGGACAAAGCGGGGGGGGGGTACGGGTCAAGTCCAAGTGTTTTCTACTGTACCGGCGGCTCCCACGGTGAGCATGCGGGTACAAGGACGCGGGGAGTTATTCGAGCATTAAAGGAGAGGTTGGGTTTGTTTTGAGTTTTTTTTTTTCTTCTTTCCATCATGTCTTGGGAATGATCTGATCCGTCCAAACTGGTTGTGATGAAATCGAATGTTTTTCAATGCGATTTCAATAGAAGAGTTTCACGTTTCACTTTTTCTTTCTCGCTCACTAATCCAACAAGAGTTGAAAATCGAAGGGGAAGAAAAAAGGCGTCTATACTTGAATGAGAGAATGTGTCATCACCAAAGCAGCACTGCCTTTTTGGGAAAGAAATTTAGGGGGGGGCGCTAATGTTATATCAGCACCAGACTGTCATCTCCGCCTGCCTGATCCAACAGTCCATGAACAAGAATTTTCTTAGAATTTCCAAAAGTAGTTATAATTTGCTCCCAATTGTTAGCTACTGTCAGAAGTTTGGAATATTAAATACTAATAATACCGAACAAATGGCACATCGGAAGATAATCCACCTCTCCAGTGCTTATATTTGTACAGAATATATTCTCTTTTAGTGGTATTTGTGCCTCTGTCCCCAATTAATTACCTTGACAATACTTTTTGAGGGTCCAATGGCTCACAGCTCTTTCAATGTTTCAAGCCAGACATGGAAACAAAAGAAACCAAAGCTTTAAATCAATTGTTGCTTTAGGTGGGCAGATATCAGACCGATGTACGGATGCCTACACGTTCCACTAATGAACCACGTTATTTATTTAGTCTTGCTTGAGACCCACCGGAGTGTCCTCAGGGGCCCGTAGCAATTCTTGGACCCCTCTTTGAGAACTACTTGCATATCAGTGGAGTGTGATGGACGAGAACCAAACATTTGAGCAGGTTGGGACTGCGTGATGCATGACTTCACACACACACACACACACACACACACACACACACACACACACACACACACACACACACACACACATTGCATCTCTATCTTTCCCTCAACTGAAAGCAAAAGCACAGGCAGGCTGGCCCGCGGTAACCTAAGGCAATCACTTTCCCCAGACCATCTGGAAGTCATCTCGCCCGCAGAGCATGTGAAAGCACAGGGCAGAAGCTACGTTTACAACTCGGTGATAACAACCGGTCCACTTGAACCGCATGGTTGAACAGAGTCGTGCACCGAAAGTCCATTCACAGCGTCACAACGCAAGGAAAGGCTCCTCTATTTTGTTATGCTCAGATACTTTGAGGCATTTGGACTGAAACAAATGAACAACGCCTGAAGTCAACTTACTCGTTAAGGCGGTCTTAACAAATATACCATTTTCCGCTGGTCTGTTGTTAGTCTACTACATGGTTGCTCCCTGGTTTATGAGAAATACAAAGGATACACTTGAAATACAGTATAATTCATTCTAGGTGTCTTTACTTAACATATAACATATTTTTACTGTCATTACTTTGTCCAGTCTATAGAGCAGCGTGATCAAGTAACGGTTTCCATTTTTTGTAAAACATTCAGCAGATTATTACCATCGACACAGAGCTGATGTTCCCTCAACGCAATCTCTGTTGGGAAGAGATGATGCCATTAATGGCAATTGTTTGCAACAGTTCCATTGTGCAAATCCCTTTTTTTCACTCTCTCTCTCTGTCTCATCTCTCCCTTGTCTCACTGCTTTTGTGATGAGTCTTATTGTGTTCTCAAAGGGAATATAGATAGATACTTTCTACAGCAATCTCAAAAGCACAGAGCAAGGACTATGTGCTCTGTTTCCATTTTACAGTCTGCGTCCTTTTGTTGATTTCTGACAATGGCAGCGGGCTGCGCGGGATGTGTGAATAGATGTAGGGGGAGATGCTGGGAGACGGAACGGGGCGGCAGGGCGTATCGAACGGTAAGAAAGTGGGACCGAGTTCATTATGAGACGAAGGACGGAAGGGAAGCTCGTGGCGAATATCGTCTTTGAGGAAAGATGTGCGCTGCGAGTCGGGCACCAGAGAGGTGCCAGAGGTAACGTGCCCCACTCAAACCGAGCAACCTGAGGGGGTCAGAAAAAAAACTAAAAAACAGCAGGGCTGTGAGGATGCAGTCACTCCTCGCCTATTTGTGTCATCTAGATTGTTCCCGGTGAGCAAGTTTTCTCATGGCAATCACAGAGAAACATCTTGACGGCCGGAGGCACAAGGATAGGCGTTGAGGAAACCTGCAAGGGAAAAGAGAATAGGGCAGTGATCTGTGTGTGTGTGTGTGTGTGTGTTTGCATGCGTCCTGTGATAACGGTGCGTGAGAGCAGGAAACACACAGTGCCTGTTTTTGCTGCAGGGGTTCCTGGAAGTCGGCCCGCCGAGTGTGATCGGCAACCCGCACAAACACACAAGCTCATGTGAGGACGCACACACACACACACACACACACACACACACACACACACACACACACACACACACACACACACACACAGGATACCTCGCCTCTGAAAGGGAAAAACATGCTGCGTCTGATACATGTGGACACAGACAAGCAGACTTCCTGCATTTTCCCACCTACTGGGCGGCCACCTGTAGCACACACACACACACGTGTGCACGCACACCTACACACACGCACACACACACACACACACACACACACACGTGTGCACATGCACACACACACACACTGAATTCGTGGAGACAAAGACATAAAATACCAATATAAGTTGGGAGTTGACAGTAAACAAGTGGCATTCAAAACCTTGTTATTATTTGGCATCGGGTGGACAAAGGGTCAACAAAGCCTGAAGCCAAGTGGCCTAAAATCATCCGCACCACCAGCAGGAGGACGAGCACAGGGACAACTAATGCAAAGAAGCTTACTTAGGCTGGTGCGTAGCGTAGCACTTTAGTGGGATCTGTTGGCAAAAATATATGAACAAGAACTATGTTTCCGTCAGTGCTTAATTACCTAAAAATTGCATTGTAAAACGCTACTTTGTTATATAAGTGATGATAATCCGTTGCTATAATCTAAAATTCCAAAACCCTCACAGGAGCCTATAAAGAAGCTTGTCCGAAGTCTTGAAGCGGCCGTTAAACGATTTAATAAGACCTTTAATGATTACCCTCCCGAGGATGATAGAATAGAAAATGCATATACTCTGGTATATGCATCCAATTCCATGCTAACTGGCTCACAATTGATACATGTGAAGGGTATTGGTTGAGTTATTTCTGCCACATGACATTCCACCATCAACATGGCATTACATACCAAACTAAATCACAAAATATTGAATGATGGAAGTAGGACATGCCTGTGAAAATGTAACATCTCAAACTAAATCCCCAACCCTCCTTTTATAGATGGAAATGGATTGTGGGAGGGAGGAAGAGAGAAAGAGCTGCATGAGGGGATAGCAGCTGCAGTGCAGCATCTTATGCAGGTTTAGTGTCTAGGGATCTGCACACTGTGATACTATGGAATTCAGGAAAGGAGACAAACTAAGTGGGTGAAAACTGACAACCTTGCTGTCTTCCGTGAGAATGTAAATGATCATTACAACTTAATCTAAACATAATCTAAAAAAGAAAAACAAACTTTCTCTAATGAGCAAATCCGAATACAGTATAAATATCCCATTGAAATATGATCTGGAAGATGGTTTCTTTATAAAAGTAGAAAATATTGACAGAAATAGGGATGTTCCCCGGTATTGTCTCTGCATCCAATCCCAAAGGGGCACATAGACCTGCGACTGGGCTTCTCTCGGGGGCCTTGGAGGGTTTCACACAAAGCGTCCATGCGATTCCCATGTGCATTTGTTGTGAACATGTGGAAACTTCCTGCCTGCTTGCCTCTGTCACTTCCTTTTTCCGCCGGGTTGTGAAAACTTGACAGACAACGTTCAAGATGGTTTCAAGTTAATCGGTTTTCCGTTTTTTCTCTCGCAGATTTTAAAGTTTACACCTGATTTTACAGAGCGGGCGACAGAGTGGATTAATATTCCAAGACATGACCACGTTTTAACAACTGGAAATGTGCTAAATCAGTGAGACCTTTAAAACGCATGTCGTCAACATTAGGAAGCCTGCTTTAATTTACATGTTTTAAACACTGCGACTGAAACACACACACATCTTAAATGAACTGCGAAAACAAAAACTTAACAGGAGATCCCCAATATCCACAGATTTCATCCAATAAGAGCATTTCCTTTGCTGCGAAGGTTTTGCCCTCTTTATAATTCTAACCCGCAAAGCTTCTGTTTCGACAGCTGAGGTAACCTCTTTGTTGCGATGAATCATCCTCTGAGCCTCTTGATGTCGGTGGTGGAACAAATGTACAATGGAATTCAATTGATGAAAGTATTCGCTCAGAAAGTAATTAAGCAGCTAACATTACTCCTTTGTCTTGCAGAAACAAAGTGTGTACTCACTGTTTTCACTGAATTATGAACACACTGTTTATCCACGGCCCACAAGGACACATCTAGATGAATTGACAATATAGAGAAAAATTACTAACAATAAAAGAAATCAGCAAAAAATGTAGTTTTTTAGTATTTAATGATGAAATGATAACTGCCTTATATGATTCTACTAATATAGCAGTTTGAGATACTACCACTGGTCCAAAAGTTTGAACATATTCAATTTAATAGCACAATACTCAAATTAAAATGACTCACCTTCTTGAGAAATTAAGTTGTTTTCTCTCAGCTAATGAATAAAAATGCAGTGCATACCGATCGCTGCGGTCAAATGGAATTCTTCAGTTAAAGTTATAGAGGGAAAACTGCTCTCCCCTCAGATATTGAATTTAAAATGGCATCAGCGCATGTTGGAAAGAGAGTCGGGAAGAGTACAGACAGGAGAGGGAGTGTGATGCAATCCGAAAGATGTAATGTGGAAAGAGC